AGGAGGAGGAGGAGGAGGAGGAGGAGGAGGAGGATTATACACATCTAGATGTGTATAAGAGACAGGTATTCAAGGGAGGCTGGAGCCGATTTCCAGCAGGTGGTGGTCCCCACCAACAGAAGGAGCAGCCCGGCAGCCAAGCCCTCAATTCCAGCGGCTCTCTAACAGAAGGGATTTTCAACAAAAAAAACAGGGAAAAGGAATAACCGTGGGTTGAGCACAAAAGACAAAACGAGAAAAAAAGAGGAATGCTGGACTTGGCGCGGCATCCTGGGCGGACTGCGCGACACGTCCTGCAATCACGTCGCACATTGTGGGACTGGGGTTTGGCTTGGCCTCACTCTCACGATCGGCCACCATCGCCACATCGCTGGCTGGTGTGTGGCTGCGCGACCTGCAGGCTTCGCGAGGCCAAGGAGGAGCTGCAGGTGTTAGCAGAGCGGTTATCTTCATGTGGCAAGCAGGTAGTCTTTTTTTTTTTTTTTTTTTGGGAAAGCAAGTAGTCGTGCACCATTCCCCCTGCATCCTTCGAAGATTCTGAAATGAAAAACAACGGTGTCCAAATTTCTTAAAAAAAAAAAGAAAAAAACAAGAGAAGAAAAAAAGGGTGTTCTCCCTGCTCTCCATCTCTCTGCTGCCCGCCATCTCTTCTCTTTTTGCTTAATATCTGATGCTTCCCCTCTTCATGCGTCTTCCCTCCTACTTCTCTCTCTTCCTCTTCCTCGTTTCTGTCCGTTTGTTGCCGCAAGCCGATGCAATCTCGGTGTTCAGCCTCCCGAGGAGTCGGTAGGTGGAACTCCGACGAAACAGTTTGTCACAGCCTCCCCTCGTTTCATGTCCTCTTCTCCCCCTCCCTCTCTGCCTACTACGATTTACCGGGCAGTTCTGTTTGACGATATATATGTATAGACCAAAAAAACATAGAAAGGCGCATGCATGAGATACATGGCAGCTCGCATCCCTGGAGTCCCCACAGTGTCTTTGTCACAGCACACACACACACACACACACACACACACACACACACACACACACACACACACACACACACACAGAGAGAGAGAGAGAAGCAAACTCGGAAGAGAGAATGGGAGAACTGAAGTAGATTGAGGGAGTAAGGAGGGGATGCGGGCACGATGAAGATGGAGTTGGGATGGCAGCGGCTATAGATAGACAGGACGGGGCAGCCCACCCCGCAAATCCTGTCGGGGCGCCCAACCCTGTAGGGCCAGGGTCAGACATCGGCAGAGCACACCATGAAGATGGACCATCGGTATCGCGACGGACATATGGAGGAGCAGCAAGGAGGGGTGGGAGGAGGAGGAGGAGGAGGGTAGGTAAATGGAGGAAGGCTGTTGCTTTGTGTGGTTGGGTGGGAGGGATTGGCAGGAGGTGTGTGTAGTGGGGAGGAAAAGAAGACACAGAGAGAGAGAGAGAGAGAGAGAGAGAGAGAGAGAGAGAGAGAGAGAGAGTAGGGAGAGAAGTCGGGATGAGGGTTAGGATGTCGCGATCTGGGAGCGATGGAGAAGGGTGGGCCAGGGTTGTAGGAAAGAGACCGTAGGGACCGATTTTTGTTTTTTTCTGTGTTTTTTTTTTTGTGTGTTTTCTTTTTTCTTTTTTAAATGGTGTGCCGGGAGTAGCGGCGACAACTGAGGGGAGAGAGACTTGCATTCCCTCCCCCCCCCCCCCCCAAGAAAAAAGAAAAAAGATAAGGGGAGGGAGAATGGGAGAGGGAGGTCATTGCGAATGGCGTTGGATGGGGGGTTCTTTTTTTTTTTGTATTTTTTACACGGCATGGAACAGTGCAGAGCGGCAATCGCGCCGGGTCTGGAAATCAGCCGGAGGAACGAGTTTATTATTATTATTATTATTATTATTATTATTATGATTTAATTATATTTAATTATTATTATTAGTATTATTAATATTTTCGGAAGATGAAGAGAGGAGGAGCAGGGGGGGGAAAGGAAAAAAGAAAAAAGAATGAAGGAGAGAGTAGAGGGTTGGGAGTGAGAGATGGGAGGGCCGCCGGTTTTTTTTGTTTCTTCAAAAAGTTAATGGTGACTGGTAGAAAGGAGTGCGGGGAGAGGAGAATCCGTGAAAGGATCCCGGTTGAGGCTGAGATGTCGGTCGGTATCTGGGAGAAAGGGAGGAGGATAAGGAAGGGAGAGTGACGGAATAGGTAGTCGTGCGGAGTTGCAGCTGGAGGAGGAGGAGGATGGATGGGAGAGGACAGCGCTGGTTTTCCTTTCGCTTTAAAAAACGTTTTGAGAGAGGGAATTCATTGGGACAGGAGATGAGGACTTCAGACTGGCAGGAGGAAGGAGGAGGGGAATGAGTGGAGGTGGTTTTACGCGCGACGGCTATGAGGGTGTTTGTGTGTGTGTTCTAGAGAGAGATGGGGGCAGAAAGAAGGTATCCCGCGAGACACGTACGTACGTACGTGTGTGTGTGTGTGTGTGTGTGTGTGAGAGAGAGAGAGAGAGAGAGAGAGAGAGAGAGAGAGAGAGAGAGAGAGAGAGAGAGAGAGAGAGAG